GGTTAGTGGAAGTCTCTCCTCCCTCAACTTTTGTTCCAGTCGCATCAACCATAATGAAACACTCACACAGTCAAATAAATAAAGACAAGCAGAATCAAGGTCAGCAGAGATTAAGATTACACACACACTACACTGATGTAATCACTGCCACCTGATGAGAAGAGACGTGGTGAATTAGGCAGAAGAGCGCTCAGCCTCAGTAGGCCGCTGAGGGTTGTTCTGGGTCAGTTTAGGGCAATCCCAGATAAAATATGACTTAAGATTATTCATTCACAGCCCAGAACCCTCGCCTGAGTACTCTACCCCCAGAATCGTTGTCAGATAGTTAGACCGGATGCAACCTTGGACTGTAAGTAGAAGGCCAGAATAGCGCAGAGAGTCGGTAGCAATCAATAGAACCCAGTAGTCAACCAAGATGCAGCGGATGACTGATCAAGCTATTTTTAGACTCCTACTACTGACACTGGCATTGTAGGACCCTGTATGCCCCACTATGGGTGAGGCGAAGTACAAATATCACTGTACCTGACTCAAAACATCAAATCCAGTATAGCGCTTTCCGACACTGACACAATATTGAATTGTGATTTCAGGGTGACTAACAGACTGAAATTCTGACGGACAAAACCTAAGATATGACCAACCCTAGCTGCCCCAACTTCCCCAAAGCACTGGCTATGGCAGCGCAATACTCGGAATTCCCTTATTACTGACATAAAAAACCTGAATTACTCAATTCACAGTGTATACTGAATCGCAATACTGTAATACAGTCTTAGATGCAATTTGAGACAGAGAGAAGCTCAAACAAAGTCAGTAGAAGTCAAAGTAGATAGATAGGGGAAATAGCTATGGCTGTCAGGCAGTGCGATTTTCAACTTTTACTGTCTACAGACATACAATTTCGATATCCCCAGTCCAATTACAACTATCAGACTCGCCACAGAGACTTGAGTAAGGAACACACTTACTTCAGGTCAAAACACTGGAGGAAGAAGCTGAACTGGCTATGGCTGCCATCTTGCCAGTTTCTTCAATTCACTATTCCTGGTGCTCCCACGTTCCAAATCTCCTGAAACTCGGTGATACGGTAGTTCATGATATGGCGATTATTCCTCACTAGTCAGATTCACTGTATCTCGCCCAAAATCTGAAACTCGACATACCCCCAGGTATCTCACCACCAGCAGAGTCAACGCCTGGGCTAAAAATAGCCCCTCAATGCCTCCCAAGCCACTGAGCACTGAATCGGCACCAATCTCTGTGTCATACCAACCGCCACACACTCTTCACCAACACCCTACTGAGTGCAATCCTGAAGATGCGATTTCACCATGAAACCTGACGCCAAAAGCTCTCAGGTAGTGATGGTTGCCTCAGTCCATCATCTCGCCACTGTCTGGGTCCGATCTGCTCCGATACCAACTGTTATGAACACGATTGTCTGTTGAAATTTTATCAACACTCACTCACTGAAACTTCCGTACACGCCCATACATGCACAGAAGGAAGGGGAGAGGTAGTGGAGGGTCACTCCGCTCAGAAAGAAAAACGCAGCGGAAGACTCAGAGACGCGAAGTGATAGAATACACCATTCAGTGAATTCTCTCCACAAAAGTCCCAACAATCATTCATAGAAGACAACCGAGTGATCACGGCCAGAATTCAATGAAGAGATGACAACTCGAACGCAGTATTACAAATGTTTATTAAACTCAGAGCATCTTTTTCACTGAATAACCCCAGAATCCTGTTGCGTCACCCTCGGAGGGATAGCGCCTCCACCCCAACACACCTAGAACAGCTAAAAATAGCACTGAAACCCCAGGTAACACCCAACGCCACCCTGACATCCAACTCAAAAGCCTGCGCCAAAGTGAAACAGGCTCCCAGAGCCAATCGCCACCCAGATCATGAAGAAGAAGCTCAGCGTCAACAGCCCCTAACGAAGATGAAGTCATGACGATGATATCCTCTAAAAAGATGCAGCTATGGCTGCATCGCCACTGGGACCCTACTCCTGAGGAGGGTCAACAATGCACCACGTGCTCCAACGCATCAGACCACTGATAGCCCAGACAACCTTGACTCCCAGAGAGTCAGAGCGGACAGCGTTGAACCCAGTCTGGTCAGCGATTCGAAGGTCTGGCTATGTCCGCCGTCTCCACCACCGGCACCACCGGAATCAACAACCACGACCTGATACCGTGTGCGCAGCAACTTCCACCACGAAGTGTCAACTGCCAAAAAGCTCAGGACCGATGTCCCCATCCTATTTATCCTCTACCACCAGCCTAGACCGGCCTAGACCGGATTGACTGACCGACCGGTACCGTTTCTGTTTCAACCTCTAGGGCCTATCCCTACCCGGCTATAGGCTATAGGACCGTCTATCAGTGTAGGCCCATAGGGTCTGTCTGTCCTAGGGGTAGCTTGGGTCTGCTATTCGCAGTTAGGGTAGCTGTAGGAAAATCGAGTTAGTACTGGGCCCATATTTCTATATTTACAGATATGTCCCTCACAAATTTTCCATACAGGCAGGTCTCTCAGTTAGTCCTCGGCCAAACAAAATTCTGAATATGTCCCTAACTGTGGTAAGCCTCGTTAGAGTGAGGCTACAGGCAACCTGGAACCAGCAAGTCATTGCGAAGGACTGGAAAGGAGGAGCGGAGTTGGTGAAGAAGGCCTGACGATGCAGAGAACAGCTAGGGCGGGCAACTGAAATTGGTCCAGGCAAATGATGAGGATTGGGTGACGAAATTCGATTTTCGTACCGAAATGCCGGACGAAACAGAGGAAGAGTAAAGGGAGTTTGCAGCGAGGATTAAATGCAGCCGCTGACAGGGAAGAGAGGGACTTAATGATGGCAGAAAGAGAGAGCACACTCCATCAGCGGTTGGTCGTCCAGAAAAGAAAGGAGTTTGACGAAAGAAGAAGTTGGAGGAGGAGGGAGAGAGGCTCCAGAAACACTTGAGGGAGCAAAAAGGCAAAAAGATCGAAGTGGGAGAAAGCCTGACCCTCCTTACCGACGCCATGCTGCATACGGTCCAGGAGCTGACCGCACTGCAGAAATCTGTTGGCAAAATCGAACGTCACCAGGACGAATTTGAGACCACCTGGAACAACTACCTCTCCGCCTCCTCCCGTTGAATGGATGATAGGATCGTCGGCTGTGCCCACCAATTAAACAATATCTTTACCCAGAAGCTCACGGCCACCATCGCAGCAAAAGGGATAGGCGGCAGGTGGTGGAGGTGGAGGTTACGATGGAGACGATGGGAAGGGAGGCAAGGGCCCAAAGAAAGGAGGAGATCAAAGGGGGGATGAGAGACGGACTGAAGGGGGAGTAAGAAGAGAAAAAATGAAGGTGAAGCTCCCCTGGACGTAAAACAGGAAGGAGGAGGAGAGAGCGGATATGGACACATACCTTTACGCGCAATTGATTCCATACAGGGACCGTCTGCTGATGGCGAGTTCCTATCTGGGTGGAGATGCTGCCAACTTCGCCATATCGTTAGTGAAGGAGGCGGGCTGCTCGTCGACGGTGGAATATTCCCAGCGGACTCGCATCGAGGATTTCTTTGAGGCCCTCAAGAATAGGTTCGAAGATAAGAACCAGGCCCGGCGTGCTGAATACTTAATCCTCAATATAGCTGACCGGAAATGGAAAAGTGTGTCGGCACTGAAAGCCACTATGGACGAATTGCTGTAGTGTCCCAATCATGGACTGACCCCCACGCAGATCTTAAACAACTTTGCAAGAGCACTTTCTGACCCCCTTAGGACCAATCTGCACCCCCGGACCAAGGAAGATGGCATGACATACGAGAAGTTTAGTCACGTGGCCGTAGACCAGGCAGGCTTCCTCCTAGAGGCAAACTATTGCCATTACTGAAAGGACCTGCAGAAAGGAGGCCGGTGGAAGAACAAGACCATATCTGGGAATATAGAGGGTAAGGATAGCCTTCTGGTCACATCCGAGGAAAGGGGAGCCTAAGCACTGCCGTAAGAGAATATAGATAACGGACTAGAAGAGCAGACAACAACCAAGTAGCCTGAGGAGCGAACTATGCAGTTGCTGCAGCCCGCGGGGGAGGGCGACAGGGAGGGAGCGGAGGCTGAGGAAAAGGTGGAGGTAGAGCAAGCGGCACCCACGAGGATAGTGGTGAAGGTAGCTACTACGTGGGAGGCAGGGATAATGGTTCCCCGCAAGGTGGACGCCCATCCAAAGATAGCTCCGGGCCAGTCATCGAAAGAAATGGGCATAGATGAAACGGTGTGGCAAAAGCGGCTGAATGTCGGCCAATGCCTAAAATGTGGTGATCCCAACCACATTGTCTGTTTTTGCCTTGACTATCGATACCCAAAAGGGAACCGCCAGTAGGAGTTGCAGTCACTCCTATTGGGCCTTCAGACTTAGACAGGCAGATACAAGTGCGCGCTCAGCAGGCACCCTCCTGTCTGAAGGCCCCCATGGCAGAGACTGATGTAGACCCCCACCCAGTTAGCTGTTCAGAGACCGCTTGTGCTAGTGTCTCTTTGGGCGGTTCCCTCGCAAGCATCGGTGGTGAGCTGATCACTCATCGCCAAGCTTGGGCTGAAATGAAGAAGAAGAAGAATAAAGGGCAACTTATCATAGGTGATGTAGAAATCAATAGAGAACGAGTAGGCCCGTTAGTTGATAGTGGATCAACGCGTAGCTACGTTAGATGATGGGGACTGCAGATGATGCACCTCTGCATGAAGGTTTTGAAGTTGGGACAGCCGATCATGAGCAGGCTGGCAGACAATCGTGAGATGAGAGTAAAAGATTATGTCGAGGGGGTAAAGGCATACAATCGTGAGATGAGAGTAGAAGATTATATCGAGGGGGTAACGGCATACTTCCGCTTGGAGGGGGGGAATAAGGTTGAGAGAGTTTTGCACAACCTGACCGTCTTAGTGGAGGACAGCCTTTTGTGGGGACCGATTGGCGAGACGCCGCAAGAGCTGATGTGAAGATAGGCAAGCACGAATGTTGGCTTCCCAGCCCTGAAGGTGGCAAGAAGAAAATGCGGCTATTTCACGAATCCTAATAGAGTCCAGTATGTCCCTCTGCTGCATGAGTGCCCCTGCGTTCCCCAGGCACGTGGTCAAAGCCAAGTTGGTTGACCAAGTCTTCGTAGCAAATGTTAGGCCGATTAGTGAGGGCAAGCGAGAGGAAGTACCAGAACCACCCGCAGTTGAGAAATTGTTGAAGGAGTTTGCTGAAGTGGGAGAGACCTCGATTGGAGTAGTGGAAAGGGAAATCAAGGACCGGATAGAGATATAGAGCCTGGTAGTAGATGTCTCCCAAAGAGCTCGACGAGCTGCGCAAGCAGCTCAATGAACTGATTGATAGTTGCACCGCTGCGCTGAGGAAGGGGACAGTTTGGAATTGGGACAAAGACTGCACCTCAACCTTCAAGAAATTGAAGAAATCATTGATCAAATATCCGCTCTTGAAAGTGGCTGACCCATCACTTCCGTTTATTGTCACGACAGACGCAAGCCAATATGGAATTGGCGCCGTACTCCAGCAGAACGATGGAGAAGGGTATCAGCCCGTCGAGTTCATGTCTTGTAGGTTGCCTAGTGAGAAGGTCGCTGCGTCGACATGTGAGTGTGAGTTGTCCGCCTTGAGGGAGGCACTGAACCCCTGGTGACACTATCTCATAGGAAGGCACTTTAAAGTCTACTCTGATCACAAGACCCCACGCTGGCTAAAAACCGAGGCCGGGACGACCCCTATGCATGGGTCCTAGGGACCATCTCACGCAAATGTGTACATGTCATCTTCACACGCAGTGATCAATAGTATCAACCATAGACAAAGGTAGAGAAGAAGAGGACCAAGTTTCACAGCTTATATTATCAGAAATATGAATACAAAGTGTTTCAAAGTTCCCCTGAGTCCAGCGCTCATCAGCACAACACCAAATCTCATATCAACTCATCAATATGGCTTCCAATGTATCAGCGCTACATCTGCAGACAATCTCCAAGTCGTCAATGTGGTCACTACTTCTTCAGCGCCACCTCTGCAGATCACATCTAATCCAGGTAAGTATCTCCCATAGCCGAACCTTGAATGAACACTTTCAGCCTCAGTCCCTTCCTCCTACGATGCATACACACTCTTCACTCATGAGGATCTACTCTGGATACTACTCATAGCTACATACTAACCCACTACTACTAATGCTAACTTGCTGGGCAGCTATGGCTGCATCACTTCCAGCATGCAGGCTTCTCCCTTCACTCAGCGCATCTTCTCCTTCCAGCGCTRCTCCTACTAGCTCAACGCACAAATGCTCCAGCACTTCCACGCTGATACAGCCAGTGGAGATCTGGCGAGAAATGAGGCTGGCTGCCTCCTTTATACTCCTCGCTGGGCCTGCATTGGCTCAATTCAGCCTCTTTCCTTGTCCCAGACCCTGCATTGCATGTGTCCCAGTAGAGTCCCAATGAAATTCAACTGCTGCTGAGGCCTCCCGGCCTGAATTTGGTCTTGAAAGTCTGGATCTGGACTGACCCCTGGACTTAGACCAGAACTGGGACTGTGCCTATTGACTTTACTTTCGGACAGGCACAACTCTCAATGAACAGACATTTACTGCTTGAACAGACACTTTACTTTGCATCAACAGGTACACTGCCTGCACGTACAGACACACCCTTACCCGAACAGGCATAACATACACATCTCCTGGTGAACAGGTAAGTCTTTTGACAATGCCCTTTGCCTTAGCTTTAGATATGCCTATTGATAGAGAGCTTGACCTTTGACCTGCTTTCACGTTTCTGAGCTCTGGCGAGATACCTTTTCACAATGCTTTACTTTTTCAAGGCCCGTGCTGCTTTATTTTACAAGGCCTGAGGCCTATATCGGGTAAAGGCCCTTTTACCTAAGTTGACTAGGTGGGCTGGGGAGATAGATCAGTGTGACTTCGAGTTGAAACCAGTCAAGGGCAAATACAAAGTCGTCGCTGACGCACCGAGCAGACGCACTGATTTCTTTGGTGCCATTGTGACCTATCTCGCTGCAGGTACAGAATTGCAGTGCAGATCAAAGCTGTATACGCTAATGACCCCCTTCACAACGAGCTTATCACCCGCGTGCAGAAGGCACCGCACACAGTCCCGAATTACCGAGTTACCGATGGATTATGTTCCAGAAGACTGACCGTTATGATCGCATGTGCATTCCCAATAACGAAACTGTTAAAAGTCTGATCTTGGGAGAGTGCCATGACACCGAAGGGCATTCCGGCTGGCGCAAGACATATGCCAGTCTATTGCGATCATATACCTGGGTCAGCATGAAGGCCGACTCTATTACATATATCCAAGGTTGTCAGGTCTGTCGGCGAAACAAAAGTTTCACACAGGCACCGCTCGGTCTGCTGCAACCGTTGCCTGTTTCGTCTGGTCCCGGAGACTCGGTGTCCATCGACTCCATGGACACGGAAGTCAACAGCCACAATGGGAAGAGCCAAGTTATGGTTGTAGTTGATAGATTTAGCAATTTGCTGTTTTTATTCCGCTGCCCCCTGAAAGACCGAATTAGTAATCAGAGATCCTTTAAGCATTGGGTTAAGGATTACGGGCACCCTCTGACAAATGTTAGTGATAGAGATAGTCGATTCACCGGTGAGCACTACCAGCAATTGATGAAAGTCTATGGGTCGCAGTTGACTATGTCATCTGGTAAGTACGCTAAGACGAGCGGTCAAACCGAGCAGATGAACAAACTGCTCCAACTAGTGCTGCGAATGTACATTAGGCCCGACCAGGAAGATTGGGACGAAGAGTCCGCGTATAACAACTCGATGCACGTGTCTACAACACGCACCCCCAATGAACCGCACAAAGGTTGGCAACCCCGGCGTCTGATTGTCTGAACTCGGATTTGATTCACAGGTTGCCACCTGGCATGAAAGAATTCGCTATTCGATACGAGAAAGACTTAGAGCAGGTCAAGAAGAACATCCTTACAGCCCAGCATCAGATGGTAGAGCAGGCCAACAAACACCGACGGCCATCGCAGTTTGCGGTAGGAGACTTGGTCTGGGTAAAGTCTAAGGAGTTGGTTCCGAAAAAAGGGACCTCGCAAAAGCTATTACCTGCATATAGGGGACCGTGGGAAGTTTTAGATGTTAAGGGAGAAGCGGATGGTCCTTCCTGCATCCCACCTCACCTGCACACGTACCCGGTATTTCACGCGTCTAAATTGCTTACCTGCACCACTACCGACCAATTTCCCTCTCGCGATCACCATGATCCCACCAGGTATGGATGGACACTATGATGTAGGTAAGATAGTGGCTGAGGATACTTTCTGAACCGGACGCAGAGGGAGACCACAAATAGAATACAAGGTCTGATTCACCTATCAAGAACCCAGCGAGGACCGCTGGTTCACCAGGCAAGAACTCGAGGAACCGCCCCTTGAATTGTCTCCGATTATGTACCCGGTATTTCACGCGTCTAAATTGCTTCCCTGCACAACTACCGACCAATTTCCCTCTCGCGATCGCCATGATCCCACCGGGTATGGATGGACACTACGATGTAGGTAAGATAGTGGTTGAGGATACTTTCTGAACCGGCCGCAGAGGGAGACCACAAAGACAATACAAGGTCTGATTCATTGATTTCTGGCTGTGATCACTCGGTTGTCTTCTATGAATGATTGTTGGGACTTTTGTGGAGAGAATTCACTGAATGGTGTATTTTGTCACTTCGCGTCTCTGAGTCTTCCGCTGCGTTTTCCTTTCTGAGAGGAGTGACCCTCCACTACCTCTCCCCTTCCTTCTGTGCATGTATGGGCGTGTACGGGAGTTCCAGTGAGTGAGTGTTGATAAAATTTGAACAGACAATCATGTTCATAACACCTTGCTCCTCCTCTTCCTCTTCTTCTTCTTCTTCTTCTTCTTCCGTAACCTCGACCTCGTCTTTCTTTTTCTCCAATTGCTTCATCTTCTTTTCTAGCTCTCTCCTTGTCCAGTTTTTCCTTCTCCTCTTTCTTTTTCCTTTGCGCCGCCTCCTTCTCTTCCTTCTCTTTCTTTTTTGCCGCCAGCCTCCTATCAATTTCAGCTTGCTGTTCAGCGGTATATGGCTCTGTGGATGTTCTGGATTGGTTCATGATGTGCATGCCAAAAGTCCGGGCGAATCCTAATGGGAAAAGAAGGCGAACGGGTGGCCCACATATCGCGGACAGGGCCAGGAAGCTGAACATCGGGTAGTCATCCATGGTGAAGGTCAACATAGGTAGGTCGACTCCACTGCCTCACCACTTAGCCCTACTCCTCAACACTTACAATCTCAACACGTAGCCTAACCTAAACGGGGTCTGTTTTCTCTATTCCCTCCCCACGTCTGTCACTACAGCGGAATCATGGACTGGTGGCCAACCAGCTCTTTAAGGTCTGCCAGCATAGACGTCAGAAATTATTTAACGCTGCATACAGGACGTCGTGGCAACTTCTAGATCCGCTCTCAAGACCAAGACTGCTTCTACATCTACATCTACAATACTATAATAATCGCTAACGTCATATCTATCGGCCCAGGTTACGGCCCGGTCACCACCCGTGAGCGGCCCGCGATCTGGGCCGTGCGATGCCGGTTCTGTTCGCCCAAACGCCCCGTCTGCTTTTTCTTTTTTCTTTTCTTTTTTCGTTTCTTTTCGGTTGTTTTTCGTCGGTTTTTTCTTTTGTGGAAGGGTTTTTTGGGGCGGCCGGTACTCGACCCGCCTACGGTCACTCCACACCTACGCCGGCGCCTATGATCCTGCTTTCGCCTACTCGCTACGCCAGGGGCCTATTCCCACCCATTCAACGTGCTTAGTCCCGCCTGCATTCTCTCTCTCTCTCTCTCTCTCTCTCTCTCTCTCTCTCTCTCTCTCTCTCTCTCTCTCTCTCTCTCT